AGAGAGAGAGAGAGAGAGAGAGAGAGAGAGAGAGAGAGAGAGAGAGAGAGAGAGAGAGAGAGAGAGAGAGAGAGAGAGAGAGAGAGAGAGACGAAAAAGGAGAAGGGGACGGAAACGCGCAGAGGACAACAGCCATGACGACCTGAGGGAGAACGGGAGCAAAAACATGAACGGAGAGAGAAGATGGGTAGGAGGAGAAAGGGGGTTGTGTGTGTGTGTGTGTGTGTGTGTGTGTGTGTGTGTGTGTGTGTGTGAGAGAGAGAGAGAGAGAGAGAGAGAGAGAGAGAGAGAGAGAGAGAAAGAGGAAGCGACAAAACTAGGGAGGAGATCCGGCCCAGGTAGGCAGGAAGATAGAAAGCATTGTGAGGAGGAGGGACAAGGGAGGAAGATGCACATTGGAAACGGAGGACAACAGCGAATGGGAGGACGGAGGACTCCAGGCAAAAGAGTCCATGCGCGCAAAAAAGAAACAAGAGCGGGAAAGAAGGCAGAAGGACAGGGAGAGAGATCTTGGCACACGTAGTACCCGTACAAAGAACGCCAGAGGGGGGCAATAAGGACCTAAACGCGGAGAGAGCGAGAGAGGGAGGGAGGGAGGGAGAAAGAGAGTGAAGGAGAGTATGAGAGGGAAAGAGGGAGAGAGGAGAGAGGAGAGAGGAGAGAGGGAGAGAGGGAGAGAGGAGAAGAACGAGGCAGAGAGAAAGTGAAAGAGTGCGTGAGAGAGAGAGAGAGAGAGAGAGAGAGAGAGAGAGAGCGAAAAAGTGGGAGAGCGAACGAGTGATAGTGAGAGAGCGACCGCAAGAGTAGCCAAGAGAGTGGCGAAGAGAGCGAAGAAGACGATGAGAGAAAGTGCGCGAGAACTCCGATCCCGATAGAGAAGTAGGGTTTAACAGACGGGAGCCAAGGCAGCGGGAATACTCACTTTGGGACTTTCCATTTCAGGAAAGTTCCTCCCATTTGCCCTTTCCACAGTACCTGCAGTGTCTGCGGCACCTGCAAAAGGAAAATTGAAAACGAAGAATTCTAGTGAGAAATTGCGCGACCATCCTTTTTTTTTTTTTTTTTCTAATAAGAAGAAGGTGGAGGTATATACCTCCACTCAGGGTTACCAGCCCGTACGTACGGAGGCCCCCGGGCGGACCTCCGTACGTTCGGGCGTTCGGGGTCCCGTACGGGGCCCGAACCCGACGGCGTTCGGCCCCCGCCAAAAATTATTTCGGGGCCTAATTTTTTTTTTTTTTCTGAATTTTTTTTTACGAGTTCTCTATGACGTGAGGTACATGCCTATAAATTTTCAATTCATTTGGCTT